GCCACTGTGTCCGGCCTTGATAGCTCTTTCTATTGCTGAATAATATTCCATGGTTTGTTTATTCATTCACCTTTTGGAGGACATCTTGGTGGCTTTCAGTTTTGGGCAATTATAAATAATTTATAAATAAAGTTGCTATGAACAATCGTATTCTGTTTTTTTTTTTTTGTGGACATAAGTTTTCACCTCAGTTAGGTAAATAACTAAAATGCAATTGCTGGATTTTATGGTAAGATCATATTGAGCTTTGCAAGAATCCATCAAACTGTCTTCCAAAGTGGCTGCACCATTTTGCATTCCCACCAGCAATGAATGAGAGTTCCTATTGCTCCACATCCTCACCGGCATTTGGAATTGTCAGTTTATTTTGGATTTTAGCCATTCTAATATGTATGTAGTGGTATCTCGTCGTTGTTTTAATTTTTATTTCCCTGTGTGACACAGGACGTTGTATACCTTGTCATGTACTTATTTGCCATCTGTATCTCTTCTTTGGTGAAGTGGCTATTCAGATCTTTTGGCCACTTTTATATTGGGTTGTTTATTTTCTTATTGTTGAATTTTTAGAGTTCTTGTATACTTTAGATACAAGTCCTTTATCAGATATGTGTTTTGCAAATATTTTCTCCCAGTCTGTAGCTTCTCTTTCAATTCTTTTAAAAATATCTTTTGCAGAGTGGTGTTTTAATTTTAAATAAAGTCCAACATCAATTTTTTCTTTCATGAATCTAGATTGTCTTCCAAAACACCAAGCTAGCCAAACAAACACCAGGCTAGCCAAACAAAACACATCAAGTCAGTTATTGATCCTGGGCTCAGGGGCTCACATAGGAGCTGTGTCCTAAATCCAGAATATGAGGCAGTGAGAGGGCACTGGGTCTGGGATGGCAGCGCTATAGCCCCGGGCAGATGGGCCCAGCGGCTCCTTCCCCAGTGCGGTGTCCGGCATGCAGCAGATGCTGGAGAGATGGACTTCAAGATGGCACTATGCCAGCCACAATGGGCACTATGCTGTGTGCCAGTTCCTACTGCTAAGTGGAGCTAAGTGTGATGCCCAGACCCATAGGGGTGCCACTGCTCTGCAGCAGGACTGCTACTGAGGGCACACTGAAATTGCATGGCTTCTGCTTTCACATGGGTCCAAGCCCAGATTGAGAGAGGATGATGGCATGACCAGTCTACATAAGGCCCCCGAGAAGGGTCATGTGGACATTTGCTCCCTCCTGTTGCAACATAGCTTAGCCCTGAAGGCCGTCTGGGATGGAAGGCATGGCTAGCATGTGACCTGCTGCCCTGCAACAGTGACCTGCTGGCTAGCTGAGTTGCCACCCTCCTGTCTCAGGCTGCCCTTGAAGGGTACACAGACCAAGTTTTTAAGCCCCCACCTTGTTCAGCATCCATGTTGTGGGGCAGGAAACTGAGGGTTGAAGACCCAGGGAGACCCCCAGTCTGGCGACTGTGGAAGCAGGTTTGGTGGGGCTGAAAGTGTTTAGGCTTGGACAGATGATCATATCCCAGATTGGCTCATGTGAGACATCTATCCATTTGGAAAAAAGAAGTTATATTCTTACCTCATCCCATATGCAAAGATACATTGTAAGATTAAAGATCTAAATATAAAAACAAAAATGATGTAGGAACTAGAAAAAAATATGGAATAGGTGACAAAAGCTGCTTTCTAGCTGAATGACCTTGGTACAAGTCATTTGACCTGTCTATTTCTCAGTTTCCTAATCTGGAAGCTGACAATGATTATAATAGGGCCTGCCTCAAAGTCATGGTGGTCACTAATTGGGTAAACATTGGGAAAGCCCTTGAGAGAGTGGCACACAGCAAGCAGCCTAGGACAGGACCTGCTGCCCCACCATGCAATCAACACTTACCATGATTTCATTACTTTTAACAGTCTATAGGTAGAAAAGTGCTACCTATAAAAGTGTTTTCTTTTGCATTGCTAATGAGCACCTGTCTTCCATGAACTGCCTGCCCATGCCCATTTAAAAAATGTTGGCCAGGTGTGGTGCCTCACACCTGTAATCCCAGCACTTTGAGAGGCTGAGGTGGGAGGATCACTTAAGCCCAGAAATTCAAGACCAGCCTGGGCAACAAGGTGAGACTCTTCCTCTACAAACAATTTTTTTTTTTTTTAAATTAGCCAGGTATGGTGGCACATGCCTGTGATTCCAGCTACTCAGGAGGCTGAGGCAGGAGGATTGCCTGAGCCCAGGAGGTCGAGGTTGCAGGGAGCCCTGATCACACTGCTGTACTCTAGCATGAGTGAGAGTCAAACCCTGTCTCAAAGAAAAAAAAGTGTTTTTCATTTCATTGATCCATAGGAGTTGTTTATATTCTGCATATTGATCTTTTGTTATATATATACACACATATATATGTATCTATATACATTAAACATTTTTTTCTTTAAGTACAAAAACAAAGGCACTCCAAAAAATTAGAATACAGGCTGAAGTGCTGGCACCAACAGCCAGATTGGAGGGTCTGGGAAAGTCCAAGGAAAATCTCAACCTGGTGTTGAGGGCTCACTTGCTGGCCTTTTAATTTTAAGAAGAGTTTTTTTTTTTTTTTTTTTTGAGACGGAGTCTCACGCTGTTGCCCAGGCTGGAGTGCAGTGGCGCGATCTCGGCTCACTGCAAGCTCCGCTCCCGGGTTCCGCCATTCTCCTGCCTCAGCCTCCTGAGTAGCTGGACTACAGCGCCCGCCACCGCCCGGCTATTTTTTTTTTGTATTTTAGTAGAGACGGGTTTCACTGTGTCTCGATCTCCTGACCTTGTGATCCGCCCGCTCGGCCTCCAAAGTGCTGGGATTACAGGCTTGGGCCGCCGCGCCCCGCCGCTGGCCTTTTAATTTTAAGAAGAGTTTTTTTTTTTTTTTTTCTTTTTTGAGATAGAGTCTTGCTCTGTAGCCCAGGCTGGAGTGCAGTGGTGTGATCTCGGCTCACTGCAACCTCTACCTACTGGGTTCAAGCGATTCTCCTGCCTCAGCCTCCCGAGTGGCTGAGATTACAGGCACGCACCATCACATCTGGTATTTTTGTATTTTTAGTAGAGATGGGGTTTCACCATGATAGCCAAGCTGGTCTTGAACTTCTGACCTCAGGTGATCCGCCCGTCTCAGCCTCCCAAAGTGCTGGGATTACAGGCGTGAGCCACCGCGCCCGGCCAATAGTTGTTTTTTAAGAATACTTTTTTTGGCCAGGCGCAGTGGCTCAAGCCTGTAATCCCAGCACTTTGGGAGGCCGAGATGGGCGGATCACGAGGTCAGGAGATCGAGACCATCCTAGCTAACACGGTGAAACCCCGTCTCTACTAAAAATATACAAAAAACTAGCCGGGTGAGGTGGTGGGCACCTGTAGTCCCAGCTACTCGGGAGGCTGAGGCAGGAGAATGGCATAAACCCAGGAGGCGGAGCTTGCAGTGAGCTGAGATCCGGCCACTGCACTCTAGCCTGGGCGACAGAGCGAGACTCTGTCTCGAAAAAAAGAATACTTTTTTTTTTTTTAAAGAATAGTTTTAAATGTACAGAAAAGTTGGAAAGATAGTGCACAGAGATCCCATGTAGCCTGTATACAGCTTCCCCTATTGGGCAGTTTTACCTTAGTGTGGTGCATTTGCCACAATCACTGAACCGATGTTGATACATTGTTATTAACTAAAGGCCATACTTTATTGGACTTTTCTTAGTTTTTCTCTAAAGCCTTTTTCTGTTCCAGGCTCCCACCCAGGACACCACTTTACATCTAGGTGGTGTGTCTCCCGAGGCTCCTCTTAGCTGTGACCGAGTCTCACATTTGGTTTTCTGGGGACCTTGACAATTTGAGGTATGCTAGTCAGGTGTTTTGTAGAGTGTCCTTCCATTGGGAAGTGTCTGATGTTTTCCTCATTCTTTGACTGGTGTTATGGGTTTCTGAGACGAAGGCCACAGAGGTTGAGTGCCACTCTTATCACATCATATCATGGGGACTGTCTGACACCTTTTTTTTTTTTTTTTTGAGACGGAGTCTCTCTCTGTCACCCAGGTTGGAGTGCAGTGGTGCGATCTCGGCTCACTGCAACCTCTGCCTCCTGGTTTCAAGCGATTCTCCTGCCTCAGCCCCCCAAGTAGCTGGGATTACAGGCGTGTGCCACCACACCTGGCTAATTTTTGTATTTTTAGTAGAGACAGGGTTTCCCCATGTTGGCCAGGCTAGTCTCGACCTCCTGACCTCAGGTGATCCACCCACCTTGGCCTCCCAATGTGCTGGGATTACAGGTATGAGCCACTGTGCCTGGCCCTCTGACACCTTTTTTAAAGCCCAATTTTATATTTCCAATGTGAGGGCTCAGAACCCCTTCAAACCCAAAGGATTGCTCCTTGGTGGCAGAGATAGAGGCCCCACACATACTGTCCTGGTCTCTGGCATCGGATGGACAATGGCAGGAGGCATGCATCATTGGTAATACCCCCTGGGTTGTGTGGTTGGAAACAGACAATAACATGGTTGTGGGGAAGTAGAGTCCCTGCTGGTCATCCCATCATTTAGGGAGACTGGCTCTGGGCCATCTTCATGTGTTATTGGAGGCTGCCTGAATCCTGGCTAGGATGAAGAGCTCTCCTGTGTCTCAGTAGGCTGGCTACCCACTGTTCCACCACCACCGTCCCCGAATCCCCTCTTCTCCCGCTATGACCCTGTTCCATTCCTGCCAACCTCTTCTTCCCACTCAGGAGACAGGACCAGGGCTTGATTGTGAAACTTCTTGTCTCTTGTTACCATGGCAGTAGGTCTACTGGTTATCAGAACTAGGGACTGAAGGGGTGTGCACTCCAACCAGCTTGAAAGTCACTGTCCTGAGTATCTACGACTAATTAAAGGGTAAAAGGAATTCATCCTTCTGGATCATACGGCTTCTCAGGAGACATGAGAGCCACAGGAATAGGTTAAAGAGAAAGGTAGGGAGCCTTTTCTGGGAACTCTAACACCTCTGGTGAGTTCTCACCTTACCTTTTGTTAGAGAAGAGTTGGGACTGTTCATGCTGGGAGTCAGATGTCTGGAGAAACGGCTTCGTGTGATCGAGTGAGTTCACTGCTGGAGACTTTACCTGTTGGCCCCAGAGGGAGTTTCACAGTGTTAGCTTGAATCTAATGCCATAGGAAGATGTTCTTGATGTAATTCTTTTTTTTTTTTTGAAATGGAGTCTCGCTATGTCGCCCACGCTGGAGTGCAGTGGCGTGATCTCGGCTCACTGCAACCTCCGCCTCCCGAGTTCAAGCAATTCTCCTGCCTCAGCCTCCCGAGTAGCTGGGATTACAGGCGCTCGCCACCACACCCAGCTAATTTTTGTATTTATAGTAGAGACGGGGTTTTGCCAGGCATGGCCAGGCTGGCCTCGAATTCCTGACCTAAGGTGATGTGCCCACTTTGGCCTCCCAAAGTGCTAGGATTACAGGCGCGAGCCACAGTGCCTGGCCTTGATGTAATTCTTAAGGGGAACAAGCCAGCTATAAAAGTTAGTGTACACAACGTGTATGGCCAAAAACAAATCTAGACATGGTAATGACCATAATGATGGGCGTCAACATATTGTCTAGGGATGGTAGAATTATGGGTAATATTTAATTTATGCTTTATGCTTTCCTGTGCTTTCCAAGTTTTCCAAGTTGAACAGGTATTCCTTTTTAAAGATAGAAAAGAAATGTTTAAAATGTTATCTTCATTCTTCAAAAATACTTTCTGGTTTTGCTTCTCCTTGTCCCAAAACCCCCCTACTAAAGTCAGGAGACATCCACCGAGCACTTTGTGTAGGGGAACAGCTCTGCCATGGTGCTCTGCAAGTTGCACGACCCCACATAGGCCTCAAGAGCAAGGCATACATCACAGCTGGTCTAAGTCTTGGCAGAATGCCCTGTAACCCTCCTGGAACGTGAGCCATACAGGAAGCTTGCGAGTGGTTGCTACTAGGTTATTTCCCACTTGCTTCCCCATCTTCCCAGAAGGTTATCCTAGAAGTTTCTTGTCACCTCCCTTGTTCCGATAAGGTTTGGAGCTTTCGGCCTCTGCCCACTCAGGGTACAGCTGCAGACTATAGAACTGCTCAGAGGCAGCATGGAATTGGCCCCTCTGTACCGGTGTATCCCACCATCCCCCTTGCTGTCATCTGGTCCCTTTTGTTTCAGTGACATCCTGTGGTGCAGAGGACACATGAAGCTGACACCCTTGCCTACTCGGGCTTTTGCTGTCTCTGTAAGTCATACACTGTCTGAATGTGTCAGCTTTGCCTGGACACTTCCGAGTTTCACTGGATGACCCTTGTCGACCGGTCAGTGGTGGACTCCCTCGGGCGCCAGCTGGGGAAGGCCCATTCACTGATGAACTTGCTAGGAAGGGCTCTTAACCTGGGGTCCACAGACAGAATCCAGGGGCTCTGCCAACGTGGATGGGAACCAATCACATCAGTATTTTCCCTAGCTGCTACCTGAAATTATTTCTTTCAGTGATAAGTGTAGACAACAAACCACAGAACTATTAGCAATAGCTGTGACTTTGTCACCCACAGAAATCAAGCATATTTTCATATCACCTGACGGTTGGTGCAGAGATCTTGAAATATTGTGTCATTTCATCATTACTTTGAAGTTATGATAAATATTGGGCCCACACCTAGATCTTATTAATTAATGCATTTTAAAAGTGGTACATGTATTCCCAGACCATAACTCAGAATATTTTGATAACCGTATTTCATTCTAACTAGTTTTCTTTGTTATCTCATGTATTTAATTTTATCCAAATATTCTTCTCTGTTGTCCTGCCACATGGCCACTTGGTATCACACTGGTTATTGCTTGGCTATGTCCTTGGCAAATCATCTTCTCTGGCTCTCAGATTTCTTGTCCTTAAAATGAAGGGATCAGCCTGTCAGATAATCACTAAGCGTTCTGCCAGCCAGACAAGTGATCTGATTGTGCGTATTTTGGCATTTCTGCTGTGCCACAACTGAAGCGTTCCATGAGGAAAACTGAAACTGGGATGTTGTGCTTACACTTATGGACAGGTTATTTCAGCTTTCATCAAACAGAAAACTTCTAAGAATTTGTCTAGAAAATATGGAAAAAATTATCTACACATTATGTTTTGAGTAAAAACTAGAAACCACCTAAATATTCAACGATAGGAGATTAAAACATATTTATGTGATGGAACAGAAACAGCCATTAAAACAATGCTGTAGGATAATAACATGAAAAAATAGCTATGCTATACAATTAATTTTTTTGTTTGTTTGTTTTTGAGACGAAGTCTTGCTCTGTCGCCCAGGCTGGAGAGCAGTGGCACGAATTCGGCTCACTGCAAGCTCTGCCTCCCAGGTTCACGCCATTCTCCTGCCTCAGCCTCCTGAGTAGCTGGGACTACAGGCGCCCGCCACCTCGCCCAGCTAGTTTTTTGTATTTTTAGTAGAGACGGGGTTTCACCATGTCAGCCAGGATGGTCTCAATCTCCCGACCTTGTGATCCGCCTGCCTCGGCCTCCCAAAGTGCTGGGATTATAGGTGTGAGCCACCACGCCTGGCCTACAATTAATTTTTTAAAAGCCATTTGTGATACTTGAACAGCTATATGATTTATTATTATTATTATTGTTTTGAGACAGGGCCTTGCTCAGTCACCCAGGCCAGAGTGCAGTGGGTCTATCACTGCTCACTGCAGCCTTGACCTCCCAGCCTCAAGCACTCTGCCCATCTCAGACTCCCAGGTAGCTGAGACTATAGGCACATACTACCATGCCTGGCTAGTTATTTTTATGTTCATTTTGGTAGAGACAGGGTCTTGCCATGTTACCCAGGCTGGTCTTGAACTCCTGGGCTCAAGTGATCCTCCTGCTGCAGCCTTCCAAACTGCTGGGATTACAGGCATGAACCACCGTGCCCAGCCTGATTCTATTTGTATAAAAACGTATGGATATATATGCATAGAAATCAAGGTAAAAGAATATAATCAAACATGTTAATATCAATTACATTTAAGTAGGGAAATTATGATTTTTACTTTCTTTGTGTTGTTCTGCATAGCAAAATTTCTATAATTCATATTCACATATATATGACTGTGATAAGAAAAACAATAAATGTTGTCAGTAGGAAATCACTGGAGAATATCACACAAAGCATTGGCGGCAAACCCACTGAGTTTTGGGAGCTGCATCTTTTATCCCTGATTTTTCCATTAATCAGGCAGAATTTTAGGCATGAGAGCAAGGAAACAATGAACCCCTGACCTTCCGTCATCCTTGTCACTACAGTGAGCACCTGCTTCATGAGCAGGGGCTGAGAACACGGGGGCCTGTGGGCCAAAGCCGCCACTGTGTCTCTTGACAGCCCCAGTGGGGCTGCGTGACTGGTCCCTGCCCAGCTTCCCTGATGTTCCCCAGGCCATACCTGCAGGTTGGTGGCCTCCTCTGCCCACCAGACTTCAAACTCTTTCTGTAGCTTCACCTTGGCTTTGTCCATGAGCAGCTGCAAGTGCTCGATCTCCACCTTCAGGGCTTTCAGGCGAGTGAACATTGTTTTATACCTGCGGTGGAATTGGGGAAGAGTCAGTGCACTGCTGTCTTGAAAGCATGGCATGGAGCGGGGGCTGTAAATGAATCCCGTGTCTCAGAATCCTGGCAGAGCTGCCCTGGTGCTCAGGGACTGGGACCCTACAGGAGCTTCGGAGGCCAGGCTACGGCACCAGGGTTTGAGTCCATCACAGAGAAGCAGAGGGAGACATTTTGGTCCAGTAGGCCCATAGGAATCTGTGTGTGAGATGAATGACCTCTCCCCCAAGAATGAAAACTGCCATTTGCTGAGACTTACTAAAGCATAAGCATTGCTGCAGGCACTCAAAATACACAAGCTCATTTAATCCCCTTACAACCCTATGAAGGAGATACTATGATTATCACCTCTATTTTACAGATTCAGAACCTGAGACAGGTATGAAGAGGTTATATAACTTGCTCTATGAGACAGAGATAACTGAGGCGCCAGGATCTGAACCCAGGTGGTCTGGTTCTAGAACCACAGTCTTAACTGCTTCACCATTCCACTGGCTCACCTTCATGCTGAGGACCAAAATTAACACTGTGCTTATGAATGCACACATATATTGGTTTTGGGAATGCTAGAATGAATCAGAAATTGTCCAACAGGAAACAGTCCAATAGACAGGCCGAAGATATAAGTTGGCCTCTAAGATGACACTGAGATTGGAAATGTGGGCCAAGGGGACAAGATGAAGATGGAGTAAAGACACAAGAAGAATGGGTTGGAGGCTGGGTGCAGTGGCTCACGCCTATAATTCCAGCACTTTGGGAGGCTGAGGCGGGTGGATCACCTGAGGTCAGGAGTTCGAGACCAGCCTGAGCCTACATGGTGAAACCCTATCTCTATTAAAAACACAAAGTTAGCTGGGTGTGGTGGTGCATGCCTGTAATCCCAGCTACTCTGGAGGCTGAGGCAGAATTGCTTGAATCCGGGAGGTGGAGGTTGCAGTGAGCTGAGATCGCACCACTGCACTACAGCCTGGGAAACAAAGTGAGACTCCATTTCACAAACAAACAAACAAACAAACAAAAAAACACCAAAGAAACAAAACAAAAAAAAGAATGGGTTGGAAAGAAACTGAGGAAAATGAACAAAGCGAGGAAGAAGAGAAGGTGGACGACTGGGGAGGGCCCCAAGGGAGTGGAGAGCGACAGCAGCGTGTGGGCTCAGGTAGTCAGGGCTTTCTGTAGGAAGACACCTGCACATCTGCCAGGAGCCACCTGAAGACCAGCACCTGGAGCTTTGATCTCCTAGGTGTGGGTAGCGGGGCAGGGGAGGTGCATGCCAGGTCAGCTGGGGGTTGGGGTGAGGAAGGGAGGGTGCTGCAGTGACACCACCGGCTCCTTGAGGCAGGAAAGGTGACTTTAGTCTCTCCAGAGCCTACCCATGGCATGGGGGAGATGGCACACATGTGCTAAATGCATCAATGAATGAATGGATGCAGCTTGATCAGCATGTGGAGCAAGATTCGATGACCACGCTGTATACCAGGAATGGCTACATGTCTGTTTATGCTTGAGGCTCCTCACTCTGTAAGTGAAGTCGTTTGGAGACCCCAAATGCCTGCAGCTGCGTGACAGTATGACGTTCTCAGGACTCGGAGGGAAGTGGGCTTCAGCCACAGGCATGCGGAAGACCACTGTGGTCATACTTCTTGGCTCCCATAGGTGGCAGCAGTGGACAAGCCCAGCTGCTTCCCGGGCCTGGCTTGGCTTGTTCTACGTTCTAACCTCACACTGCCTGGGGTCCTGCCTTTCACAGCTGCCTGCTCAAAGGCAGCCCCTCCTCCTCCTGCTATTCTAGGATCCAGCTGCTGGACCCACAAGTCCCTGAGTAGCTGCAGCCTTGGGCAGCTCCAGGATGACACTGAGACCCCGGGAGGCTGGGCTCGGGCTGTGTGTGGCTAAAAGGAAGGGCACCTTCTCTTTTCTTCCTCCAGTTGTGATCGCAGCTTCTCCTCCTGCTGGTCTGGCATCAGAGGCACCGCCATGTTTTCCGAGATTCCTGTAGAAGGAACGCAATGGGATGGTGAGAAAGAAAGGTAAAAGGAAAAAGGGCAGATGACAGAGTTCAAGGGCACCCCAGGAAGAAGGGGGCGCCTGTGAGTTCCTTCTGGGGCCTCTTGGTGGCAACCTCTGCTCAGCTGAAAGCCCTGAGAGGAGCGGCTTCCAGGGTTATTGTCCCTCTGCTGTCCCTCCCACTGCCAACATCTGTCACTGGAAGGGAATTCTCCCTCTACTAATCTTTTCACTATTGAGCTCATTCATTTCCTGTTGAGTCTCCAGGGAAGATGCAAAATAGCATTTCCCCATCCTCTGATAAAGAGCCCTTCAGGGCTGGGCACGGTGGCTCATGCCTGTAATTCCAGCACTTTGGGAGGCCTAGGCAGGCAGGTCACCTGAGGTTAGGAGTTCAAGACCAGCCTGGCCAACATGGTCAAACCCCATCTCTACTCAAAATTCAAAAATTAGCCGGGCGTGGTGGCAGGTGCCTATAATCCCAGCTACTCTGGAGGCTGAGGCAGGAGAATCGCTTGAACCAGGAGGTGGAGGTTGCAGTGAGCCAAGATCGCACCATTGCACTCCAGCTTGGGTAACAAGAGAGACACTCAATAAGAAAAAAAAAAAAAAAAAAAAGCCCTTCACAAACAAGGAAATCTCTCTAAACCATCTGACATCTTTCTCTGCACAAGTGGAGTGCTGAATTTCCAGCCTCAGAATCGTGTCTCCTGTTTTTCACTCCCTCTGTAGCAGTGGTTCTCAAGCCTGATGAACTCAGGCCATGTTAATTCACAACCAGAGTTGAGCCCAAGCCTTGGCGACCGGATCATGACGGGGCCGGGGGAGGGCTGAGGACGTCAGCAGGTATCAGCTGCTGCGCGTGTCTGCGTCCCTCTGATGCCAACCTCTGTCTTCCCCCACGTGACCGCCACTGGTTGCCTGCTCTGGCTAGTGTGCTCATCTGAAGCCGGCTCTCTCCTAGCCCAGAGTATGGGGACTTTTTATTCTCCTAGAAGTCTCTTCGTGGTTGCTCTGCTTTTCTGAGCTCCATAGACAACATCTTAGAAGTCACACAGCCCTGCTTTTTACTCCATGTAGGGGAGATTCAGCTGTGGTCCACATGCTTCCAGACATGCTCATACTGAATCCTTATAGTATTTATTTGCCGTAAGTGTTATTACTCCCATTTTACAGATAAGGACACTGAGGTTCAAAGAGGGTAAACTGCCCAAGCTAGGTGGCTAACTTTAGGAACCTTGGATTCAAAAATCCCTTTGAAAACATTTCTGACAGAAGGTCATCTGCTTTCTGCTCAAATACTTCCAGGGATGAGGAGCTCACTACTTGGCAGGATAGCACATTTCATGGTGGACAGCTCTGTTTCCTCCTACTTTTGAGCCAAGACATTTCCCACTAACTTCTTTTCACCTCTACTTTGGCTCTTTGGAGCAGCATAGCATATTTTTCTTCTTAATCCGATGGTCCTTTAAATATCTGAACAACAACATCAAAATACCACATGTGTCTGGAACTTTTTTTTTTTTTTTTGAGACGGATTCTTGCATTGTCACCAGGCTGGAGTACAGGGCGTGATCTCCACTCACTGCAACCTCTGCCTCCCAGGTTCAAGCGATTCTCCTGCCTCGGCTTCCTGAGTAGCTGGGACTACAGGTGCGCACCACCACACCCAGCTAATTTTTGTATTTTTAGTAGAAACGGGGTTTTACCATGTTGCCCAGGCTGGTCTTGATCTCTTGACCTCATGATCCACCCGCATCGGCCTCCTAAAGTGCTGTGATTACAGGCGTGAGCCACTGCGCCCAACCCCCCTTTTTTTCTTAGACTGACTCCTGCTCAATCTCTCCCCTGAAGTTTCAGCGACCTGGTTACTTTCCCATTTATCTTAAGTATGAAGCCTAGGTCTGGACATAATAATTCCATAGGTCTGAAAGGTACAGAGTAGAGTAGGGCTCCTCTTACCTTTTAAAAATTTAAGCTCTATATTTTTGTAGCAGATGAATTACTAACAATGACCATTTATTGGGGGCTTTCTGTGTGCTAAGTTCTGCCAAATGCTACTAGGCACTGGTCGAGGTCCTCTATGTACCCTATCGCTAATTCTCAAAACAACCCTTCAAGGATGGCATTGCCATCTTATTTCAACCAGATTCTTAGTCTCAGAGAGGGCCGTGGATAACCCAAGGTTACACAGCTGCTAAATAGCAGAGCTGGGACGTGAACCCATTTGTTTTTTTCTGATTCCAAGGAGCTAAAGGTTTCTACCAGACAGCCTCCCCAACACTGCTTGTGATTTTTAGCAGCTCTGTCGTGGTTGGCCCCTATTAAGCTTGTGGTCAGTTTTAAAACTTGCATGTTTTTTTAATAAGTGATTTTGTCAAAATGCATTCTGTTTCAGTGTGATTGTCCTTTCGATCCTGAAGGTACCACTTTACATTTATTGGCAGCCTAGCCTGCTGGAGGTCCTTATTTTGTCACGTCATTATTCTTCCCCTTTGACTTCCTTACCCATTTGTTACCTGTGTTTTTTATGTCATTAGCTTATTGATAACTATGCTAACTGGATCATGGTTCTGTCTGTCATCTTCCAGGTGCCAGTGACCCCCTTTTCCTTGTGTCAATTGCCGACTTTAAATTGACAGGAAGAGCAAGTGTCTTATTTCATTATCTAAACACAGGAAATGCAGATACCATCGACATCCCACCTGAAGTCCACACTGTCATCTGTGTTCGTGCAATTTACTGGTTCAGATGAGGCAGCCCGCCTGTCCACATCACCCTCAGCCCCCAAGTCTCAGGCACAGGAAGCTCTCAAGGGCAGAGATTGGGGTCCTCCTGCTCTGAGTGTCTTCCCCCAGTGCTGTGTTCAGACTCCATGTATAGGGTGCACTCAGTGCCTTGCATGTTTGCTGGTCTTGTCTTCTTTGAAAGTCGTCAGACAAAATAAACTGAAGGAAGTATCTTAACATGAAACTGACAACGGCAGAACTTTCAATGGACAAATTATTTCCTTTTTAAAAAGTTTCAGAAATGGGCCCAGGTATCTTCCAGACTGCTAAAAAATAACACTGTGAATCTCCTTCCTCCTTTTAACACTTTTGTCCCCACCCCAAGGGCACCCCTGAGAAATTCAGTGAAGCCCCCCTCTGCTGTGACTGGCTAGACGTCCTGCTGCAAGCCTAGCATGTGAGAGGCTGCTGGAGGCAGGTGGAGGAAGAGCTGCTGGACTCACACAGGCCCATCTCACCCGGCCAGAAGAGGCGGTCTCCAGGGCTTCGTGAACAGACAGCAGAAGGTAGAAGGGCCGGCCGGGCCGGCCTGCTCTTCCGTATAAAGGCCGCGGTCACCCCGTGTGAACGCAGAGCCCCTCTGTAGGAGGCAGGCTCTTGCCTTGCCCCATGGCTGGTTGTCTTTTCCTTGGGCATCTTGCAGGTTCCCCCGCAGGTCACAGCGTCTCAGGTGCCCTGGAAGTGTGTGGGGTGTTCAGGAGCCTTAGGCAAGGAGCACATTCTGAATGCCTCTGACACAAGCATGGAATGATAACATCAGCGCCATCTGAGGAGTCACTGGAGCCCAGTTCCCGCTCAACACCGCTTTCATTCTCACCACCCCAGCAGACATGATCACCTCTGCTTCAGTCCGGAAGACCAAGGCTTAGGGTGACTAGGTGGCTTGTGCGATGCCACAAAGCTACCAAATAGCGCCAGGCTTTGGATCCAAATCTAGTCACTCATCTGCTTATTTAACAAATGTTTATGGAGCATTGACTATGTGTCTGCCCCTGTTCTAGGGGGATTTCAGGGGGGAAGACAGACACTAAAACAACAAATAATTGAGTCTGCAGCATCATGCCGGGAATCGGAAGGTGCTGTGAGGAAAGACAAAGCGGGGTAAAAAGACAGGATGACAGGGTGGAGGGCTGCCATGCTAGGTGGGGGGTGAGGGCCTCTAAGCGGGGGGACATTTGAGCAGTGGCCTGAATGGAGGGAGGGAACAGGCATGCAGAAATCGGGGCGCAGAGTGTACAACAGTAAGTGCAAAGGGCCTGAGGTGTGAGCCTGCTTGCTGCATCTGACAACAATGAGAAGGCCAGGGCGCCTGAGTGGTTGGTAAGGGAAATCGTGGTGGGAGCTGAAGTCGGTGAAGAAACTGAGACCAGACCCTGGCAGATCTTGTGAGCCATGGTAAGGACACTGGCTTTGAGAGAGATGGGAGGCTGGAGTATTTTGAGGAGAGGAATAGGCTCGATCTATTCCTTTGAAAGCTTTTGAGTGTTTTTGTGTTTTGTGTTTTTTTGCTGATCAAGACAAAGCTACTCCAAACTGAACAACAGTTAATGTGGAGGTGGCGCCAGGAAGCTGGGAGTCTGTTGAAAGGGTCTGGGAAAGAAAGCTGGGGCAAGGGACCTTGGGAAGCCAGAATGAGGGCACAGCACACCCCACGACACAAACTACCCACGTTGTCATGACAACCAAATGGGCCTGCTGCCCGAAGTGATGTTTGCTTGGTGCAATGCATTGCAGCCTCACCAGGAGACAGCCTCTGGCTGCTTCTGATGTGTTCTGAGGCTTGGCTCATCAGTAACCTCTGAAGAGAAATAGGGGCTGGGAACTCAAAGGGAACCAAACAAAAGCGACTGAGCAAGAACAGAAGAAGAGGGAGTAGCTACAAAGGGCATTTGAGTTTTGTAGGTCTCCATCCCCACGGGGACTCTGGCCAGGGACAGAACCTCCCACCACCTGACAGGAGGCACAAGGAGCCCTCCTTTCAAGGACAGGATTCTGGCTGGGACAGCAGCACAGGAGGTCACAGTCCCGAGTGGCCTGTGAGGTCACACTGTTCATCTGTGGGGAGGCAGCTGTCTCCAAAGCAGTACAAAAGCAAGAGAAGGGTTTCACTCAGTGGCTGTAGGTCTGAATGGCACACAAGGAAGAAGCCCTGAGCAGTCAAACAGAAACTGAAGCTTCGACTTGGGAGGACGCACAG